AATATTAAATTTTTTAATAATTGATTATTAAAAATCTGAATTGATAGTATTAAAATCAATAATATTTTAAAAGTCATTATTAGCTTTAATAATTTATCCATGAATAGACTATAAACATCTATTAATTAATAATATTTCTTCCTTTTTATTAGCAAATTTATAAATCCATTAAAAATAAATCAAAGAAATTCTAACTTAATGTTTAAAAATCAATGAAGTTTAATCTAGAGATTTCTTTAACATTTTATTTTTTAAAGATAATTCTTCTAATTGAACTTCTTTTTTCTTCTCTTATAATATAAGAATGAAACAAGGATGAATATCAAAAACTTTAGTAATTAAAATCGAATAATACTCTTACTCATAAATCGCTTCACCTAATATTTGATTATTTTCAATTTAATTATCAGTCATAGTTTTATTTATTCTTTGATCTCTGAGAAATAATTCAAATAAATATGATTTTAATTCTTACTTTCTTTAAGATTAATTTATAGGATCTTAACCTAAGATGGATACGAATTTTCCTGAACTCCTAGATTATTGTATTTTCATATTGTTTAAATAATCATCAAAATCATCTAAAATTTATTTCTATATCTCCTATTAATCATCTTTCTAAACTAATTCAATTTTTTTAGTTTCTGCTTTATAATGTACAATGAAGGTTTATATATTTGTTAAATCATATATGCCTTTCAAGGTTGTTGTTCTTTTTAAATGGTTAAGAAAACTGTATTTTTTGTGCTTCTCTGAACAATACAAATGTTATAAATAAAGTGATGTAAAAATTGTCGATTTTATTAGTTAATTCCAAAAATTCACTTCAGAAATCATGCTCAAACTCACTAGAGATGTAAAAATTATAGCTATAATGATAGTTTTATATCTGAAACTAAAAATATTGATCACACTAAAATATTTAAATTTCGATTTACCCGAAAGTGCCAACTGATATAAAATAGCCATCAACATAGAAGTTTTCGCTTTAAATTATTGAAAAGTATTTAGTTATAGGAAAGTATAGATTATAACTAACAACTACAAATGTCAGAAAGAAATCATATAATTTATGAGGTTGAGCTATAAATTTGTAACTAAATATGACAACTAACCAATTAAATACAATGAATCCCAAACTTACCCATTCCTATTCGATAATTTTTATAATAGTAAAGTAGAGTCCCATGACAATGAATATCCATTTTTACTATTATTGAAATTCTATAGATTGTTTTTTGTTTATAGATTAGTATTGTTACTCTACATCTTTATTCAAAAAGGTTAAAGTAAATCTATGCATTATAAAATATAATTAATATTTCATTTTATTTTAATATCAATATACTACTATTATCAAAAATAAATCTTTCATTTTAAGATTATTTCTTTTTCAAAAAAGTTAAAATACTAATTTAAACAAAATTATGCTAAATATTTTTATAAATTAAATCAAGTCTTCTTTTAATAAGCATGAATTTTCTCATAAATTATTCATTATAAGAATTATAATTTATTGCTAAATTTCATGTTTTAATCATCACCATAATTATTTTACTAAAATAATACAATTCATTCTTATACCAATTATATTATTAAAATTAAATTATTTATTTATCACATTTTACACCTCTTCAAAATTGTAATAAGTATATTCATAAGAGTCAATTTGAATAATACAAATTCTTTCTTTCTATAAGACCAAAATTAATTTATAATCAAAGAGATTCTACTAATAAATACTAACAGTGAAAGATTAATATATTTTTTGTAATTTTGACCTTTTTAATGGCTACCAATAATTTTTTATAAATTATTATCCTCAATCTTGAAATCCTTTAAGGAAAATTTGTTATTCAAATTTTAAAAAGCAAAGATGTTTAATCTTGATGATAATTAAGTTAAATGTTAAAAATTATTAAAAAATTATAAACAAATCAAAATTGCTATCAATGTATATGATAAATAAAAAATATTAAGAAATTTAATTAAATGGATAGATTTTTGGATAAATTAAATAATTGTTGAATAAGAATAGTGAATAAAAGAGCATGAGATTATTCAAATATTTAATACAGAACGTTTACAATTTCTTGTTCTGTTTTAATGGAAATGAATAACAAAATAGATTTTATATTACTATCTTATAGATTGTCTAGATTTTAGAATTTTATCAAATAATATATCAATTTGATTCAAACATTTATTACATAATTTGGAAAACTAAATTATATTAGAATTTAGAAATAAATTATGAAAAATATTAGTTTTAGATAAGCTAAAATAATAGTATTGATTTTGAAATCAAAAATTAATATGTTTAATAATATTCATATGATATATTTTAATATTTAATTAATCAAATTTTAGTAATTTCACTATTCTCAAATTGAAATTACTTATAATATAATAATTTTTTGTAAATTTATTTTAATTTTAATCAAACCCATCAAATACTGATAATTATTATTTCTAAAATGCCATTAACAAATAATATAAATCAAAATAAATTATATGGATCCATTCATAAAAATATAAACCCCTTAAAAATCAATGATAAGAATAATTCTAGACAGTTTGATTGTGTTTGTTAAATTACCTTTATTTGCCATCTTGATATTAGAAATAGTAATCATGAATGATTATATATTTCGTTAAATACAAAGACTATAATTTCACATTGTATTTCATAAATTTTTGAGAATTATAATCTTAGTTCACAATTATATAAGTGGAAGATTATTATTGCTAGTTTTAGGATACTTTAAATATAAATCACTTTTTCATAACAATACTTCAAATTTTAAACATGTAAACTTATAATCATATTGTTTTTATTGTTTAAGAACATCTCCCATAGATGTTCTTGTTTATATCACATAGTAATATATTTTATAACTTAGTTTTTCTCCATCATTTACTCATATTTCAATTTAAAAAGATAAAGTTAAGTGCAAAATTATAAGTTATGGAACGGCCATTATAGAGTCATTTTACATAAGTAAATGCAGTTTTAAGGATTTTACAGATGGAGAAAATATAAAGGATTTAATGATTTAGATTAGAAAAACAAGGACTGGTCCTTTGATAGTATTTTGGGAGGGAGGAATAACAAATGGGTACTCTTTCTTAAAAATTGATTAAACAATTATTAATGAAATTTATAATATCAATAGTTTTGCTAAGGAACCATTATAGAAATCTCATTATTTGAACTAAAATCCTTAAGGGATTGTATGTTTATAGAATGATGATAGAATGAATTTGATAGGAAATAGTCCAATTTAAATGCTAATTACTATATTAAAAAATTAATTTTGTAGTTTAGAAATGTTCTTCTTAAAATTTCAACCATATAATTTTATAGATCATCTTCCTGATATTTATTAAGGTTTTATTGAAGGTAGAATAAAAAGAGGAATAGTATAATATTTTCATATAATTAGAGCGATTATTCATGGATACATTATCAATAGTAATTCATTTAATAAAATATGTGAAGCGAATATTAGAGTATATTTATTTGTAATTTATTATAAATAATTTATCATATTTATATTAATTAACATAATATAATATAATTTCATGAAGTATCTATTTCAAATTATATAAATATATTTTTCCTTTAAACTTTTTGATATATTTTTTATTATATACTTTTTATTGAAATAGTATTATTTAACATAAGTTAGAAATATTAAAAATAAAATTGTATATGGATTATATAATAAGAAACTTATATATAGATTTAATTATATTGTTGGTATGTAATTATGTTTATTTAACTTATTATGTTAATAATTAATTTAAATAATTAAAGTCAGAAAGTATAAGAACTATAAAATTTTAACAATATATTATTCTTAATAAATAATCAACAGCAACCTCCATCTTTTTATTTTTTTTAGTTTGAAGTGTTAGCACTAAGTTTATTTGATTATGAAGTGTTGGTATTAGTTTATCTAAAAAAAATAATAAATAAATATATACCCTCTAGATTATGATTATTGTGTAACATTTGATGTTGTATTAGTAGTCTTGGGTGGTTATGATGCATCCTTTTTAGCCATTAGTTTTCGTGATAATTCAAGAAAGGCATTATTAACATGATCAGCTGTCTTAGCACTACATTCCATAAAAAGCATATTATGAGACTTACAATATTCTTCAGCCTTTGATGTTTCTATTCTTATTTAAATAAATAATTTTGTTACTATTTCTATTCATCTAAATCATTTTTATTTCCAATGATTAATAATTACACATTTTTTTCACCATATGATTCTACTTCATGCAACCAGAATTTATCGATATCATCAAATGATTAACCTTATGTGACATCATATACCATAACAATTCCATCAGCACCCTAAAATATTATTAATGATTACTAATTACCTTATAGTATGCACTTGTGATTGTTCTGAATCTTTCTTATCCAGCAGTGTCCCAAATCTATAATTTTACATTCTTTCCATCAATAGGTAATGTTCTAAATCTAAAATCAACACCAATAGTTGTTAGATAAGATTCACTAAATTAGTCATCTGCAAATCTCAACAATAATGAACTCTTTCCAACTCCAGAGTTACCAATAATTACTAACTTGAACAAATAATCATATTCTTTAATCATCTTACAATTTCTTTTCTTTTAATTAAATATTCAAAAATTAGAATTTATCAAATTTGGTATTTCTCATTAATTATTTCAATACATTAAAATAATAATACCAAATAAAATATCAATTTAGTAATCTAAAACATTCTATTTAAATTAAGTATCTATTATTTTCATTAATTATTATATATATAATATACTAATTATATCATCAGATTAATTATTTTAGTATAATATATATATCTTAAACTTTTACTATGTTTCAGACTCAAAAATAACTGAATAAGATTAAGTATTAAAATATATATATAATTATTTAATAGCCTCTTTATAAAGAATTCAAATTTTTTTAATTATTATTATTTAAATCATAGTTTTAGATGAATTCAGATATATTATATAATCCATATTAGTCCACTGTATATTATTTCCAATAATTTACAAATTACTAATAGCAATTTATTCCATATAGTAATTAAATGTTTAAATTAGCTTAAAAGTGATAATATAATAATAGAATGTACCAATGTAGTTTACATAATTAAATTATGATTTGAGAGTATAGCCAATAAATAACTATACAAATTATTAATAAGATGTACCAGAAATTAATAATATTGACTTAAATAATCATTTAACTTAAGTAGAGTTAGGATTTTAAGAAAAATCCCCATCAAAAGAAGAAGACTCTTAAGTAAGAGTTAATGGTAAGAATTTCTTATATATATAGGTCATTGGACAAACTAAGAACATTTATTATATTTAGAGTTTGTAAAAAATCACGAATCCATCTTAAAATCAAAATATGACAAAAAATCTAAAAAAATATTCAAATTAATGAGTTAATACATACCAACAAGAAACGCTACTTAGTGCAGATCGCATCATTAAAAGTTTAATCCTTTAATTAAAAGAAAATTAAAGAAATCATTTGGTTATACTCCTATTGTGATTCCTCCATAGAGTTGACTATTTTAAATTATATATCAATTTTAATTAATAAATCAAAAATATTTTATTAATTCATATAATAATTGATTTATGATTTAAGTTAAATGAATGAAATTGAAAAAATTATTCAATCTCCAATTCCTTAATCAAGCATCAGTTCCTTTTTACTTATTATTAGACTCCAGTCAAATATTCAACAATTTTATAAATTCTCATTAAATAAAAATATAATTCAAAATAATCAATTTTATTCAAATTAGAGTTGTTATTACAGACCACAATAATTCAAATTATTAAAAATAAAGTAATTATTTAATTATAATAAAGTATTTCAAAAATACAATATTATTTTGAAACACTTTATGACAATACCTAATTTTAATTAATGACATATTTCTATAATTTAAAACACTAATAAATCCATAGATCAAACTTCCATGCAAGTCAGGATAGATAATTATAGTAAAATTGAAGAATATATTATTTTCAGACTTAAAAAAGAACATTGATTATACTCTACATATTTAAAAAATGAAATTATTTTAAGAATATTTCAATCCTGTTTTTAAGTTGTATAACTTATGTAGATTATAAAATATCAATGTTTAAGCAAAAGATATTAATTATATAAATATATAAAAGATTATAATAAAAATATCATCATTTATTAAACATATTTTATGAATTTAGTTTTCTTGAATTAATATGATTCTATAATTTTTAAGTTTTATCACTATAATCTTATTTAGATTAATTCAAATTATGATTATATGTAATCATGTATTTATTGGATGGTTATGAATTCCAATCTAATGCTTCCATTTTAAGGGGAGCTTAAATAGTTAATATCTATTTAATTTTTTAATCAGCTAAAAAATCATCAGGATCATATTATATATTATCTTTATTAATATAAGGTTAAGATAGAGATGAATAACTCTTATAATTATTTTATTATTAAAGACTCTAACTCCTTAAATTATTGTGATGATATTAAGGTTATTATAAATTTATTTCACCTAATTTAGGTAATTGTATATTAGGATTCTACTTTAATTATTTCATAGATTCTAAATTTTATTTAATTTAATATGACTTATCAATTACTTATTATTATGAATAGAATTAAGATTATTTTCCATTCATATTATCTTTTGATTAATAATTAAATATTGGATTATTACCCTAAAGTTTTCTTTCAGCTGATATCAACCAATAATTATTATTGAGATATAAATCAGGATTTTATCTATATCCTTATAATTCATTATGTTAAAGATCATTTGGTTATAGTTTTTTTGGATCATTTTATATATTTGTAAGTACTGATAAATCCTGTAGATTTAAGGTATTATTACTATTTTTGAACTATTCAATATCATAATCCTTTTCTTTAATTATTCTTTCTAAATCTATGATTCTATCATTCATTAGCTATAGTTTGATTTCACAGTTCCTTGAAAGTTCAGACATTTATTGATCTTTTTGTATTTACTGTTTTTTTAATTATTTAACTTCTTCTTGTAAGTTTAGTATTAATTAATCTTTAGTAATTAATGAAGCTTATAGTAAACTAATTTTCATAGATGTTTGAGTTTTAGATGATTTAGATGAATTATATGAGATTTATGTTTATTTCTTTAGATCGAGATCATTTAATAGAGTATCCTATTCTTATAATGCTGATTAAAATTATTTATGATTGTTTATTGATTAAATTGACTATCTTTCAATAGTTTTATTTATTGATGTCTAAAAATTAGATTCTGTTCGAGATGGCGTTGGAATATTATTTAATAACATTCTTTTTTGAATTGAATCTGAATTGTCTTTGTATTCATTATCTTAATTGTTTTCAAACTGTTACTCCTTTTATATCACTAAATTATTCATCATTTATAATAATTTTTTATTGTCCTCAAACTTAGACAATTTGATATTTTTATGAAATGATTAAGAGAGAATCCTTTATTAAAATTAATAAGGTCTAAGTATAAGATATCAAATTTAAGTAAATCAAATAATTATTATAAGAAAGATAATAGAAGAAATTCAGGCTTTAGGTTTTCTAAAACTACTGTAAATAACTTTTTATTTTTTATCGAAGGTGACTTTTTTAATTGATCTTTGAGATCCAATAGATTCTATGTCTTTTTGAACGTCTTTTGAACTGAAAGAATTTGATCCAGCCATTGCTTTATTTTTTAAAATAGATTTGTGTTTAACTATATAATAAATAATTGATAATTACCTTCTTGTAATCCACTATTTGAATCATCTCTTGAATTATTTTAGAGATCTAATTGATCATTTAAAGCATTTGTTAAATTATAGTCTAAAGGATCATGTTTATTTTAGTTTAATTCTTATTTAGTGAGAGTATTGTCTGAAGAATTTTATTTAGGTAAAGAATTCATACGTTCTCTTTCAATTTAAATATTTTCTTCAGGGAACAGTAAATTTATTATTGGTTATGGTTTTTGTATTTAAGGAAGTCTATAGATATTAATTTTGACTTTCTTCTCTTGTGTAATTTAGTCTTCATTAGAGGATTATACGTTCTAACAAATATGAGAACCCATTATGATTGATATCTAGAGTAATTAAGAAAGATAATAATAATTTGAGTTGAAAATTTTCAGAAATTTAAGTACAACAAATAATATTAAGCAAAAAAACTTAATATTTTTATTATGAAGTTTAATATTAATACTAAAATGAATCCACCATTCACATTTAGATTTTTTTTTATTAATTCCTACTTATAAAATTGTTTTGAAATAATAAATAAAAAAAAATAAATATAAAAATGATTTAATTATCATACAACTATCTAGAATTTCTTAGTTTTAGAAATGTGAATTTTTTGTCTAAGATTAAACAATGATTTAGCTTTATCACACCAAATTGTTGATGGAATACTACCTTTATCTGTTATTTTCTTTTATTAAAGTTATTCTTTTGTAGTTTTACCATTGTAAGCCAAGCAAATATGAAAACAAACAAAAACTAAAATACATAAAGTCAATAAGATTGTTGGAATTCCTAAAGCAAATAATACTATAACTAATATTGTTTAATTCTATATTACTATCAATATATATATATATAATATAATTACATATGCCATCCTTTCCTGATATACCCTCTCCAAAATTTCCTATAAATAAAATCAAGAATCCCCCTAATTCTCCTATAGCTAATAAAAGTAATGAAATCAAAAAAGCTATAAAAAATCTATAATTTCTTTGTCCTATACAATTATTTACAAATGGACAATGATGATCAAATACTTAAACACAATTACCACAATCCTTACAATGAGAACATCTTAAAGGTTTTACAATTTAACAAGTTGAACAAATTCTCTATTCTTTATTTTAATATTTCTTTTTTCTTTTATCTGGACATCCACCAGTTCCTTCAATTTTAACTTCCTCTTTACTAATAAAATGAGTATTTTAATCAGATAATTCTAAAATAGATTTTCTTGGTATTATTCCTGGATCTGAAAACTATTTAAAATATAAATTGTTATTATTACTTAAGTTAACACTAAAAATAGTATTGTACTTAAAAATAAATATATTACAATTAAAACATAAAGCCAATGCAATTTTTACCAAACATATGGAGCAACAATTACAAAAAAACAAGTACTTATACCAATAATCATTATCCAAGTAAATATATTATGATATCTATCACCTTTTGGACCTGTCATTATACGACCTTAACAAAATATTTAATTGAATGATGGCCAAAATTCATACAAAAAACGAAAACTTAAACTATTAAAATATATTATCATACTTGTTTTTTTCTGATTTTGGTTCAAATGGGAATAATTCTAAATCAGCAGGTTAAAATCCTTTTAAATCAACCTTATTACCAAATGGTGGAGTAACATCATTAATATGTTCAGATAATCCATTTAAAGAAGAAGCAACAGAATTACTCTTATTTTTTGAGAACTCCAAGTTCCCATTAAAATCAGCACTTTATTTTGATTTATTATATAATCCATCAGGTGGAGCATCTTCTTTCAATGTACACCCTTAGTTTTGATATTTAGTATTCATAAATTTATAATATAAGTATTTATTATTAAATTTCTACTCTTAGATCGTTTTTAAACTGAGAAATCAGAAAGTCATTAAAAATTGTTAATCAACATCTATTATATATTCAGAAACTAAATTCATAACACATTCATTGTATAATTTATTATATGACTTTTAATGATCATATTAAAAAAACAAAAATACGCTATTCCATTTATTTAAACTTTGATTTAATTCATCTATAATTTGATATAATCTTCTCGTAATCATGATTTTATAGTTTCTTAAACTTGTATTAATCTAATAAGTTATTAAACTTTATAATAAAGATAGGATATTATATAAATCTAAATAAATTTGATTTCAAATATATTTGCAATAAAAGTAAGGATTTCTGAAATATATTATTGTATAAAATGGATTTTGAAATCATTAATTTATTGAGATCAAAGTATTGTTAATAATACATAAGTTTATTTGAATTTAAAGACCCTTTTGATAAAAATAGAGAAAATTCATATAGTCTAGTAAATTATTAAAGAATAATAAAGATAAATTGTATTTGAGTCTCAATATAAAATATTTGACTTTAAATAATTTTAATTAATGAGTAAGTAATACAATAGGAGAGGTAATTAAAAGCCTCGTTAAGAAGTGTATGAGTATGTAACTAAGGAGGAATATGAACAATAACAAATATAGTAGAATTAAGAAGAATAACAAAAAACATAAAATCCATAAAAAAAATAATAATAATAATAGATTTAAAAGAATAAATAAGTTGATGAGAGAAGAGAATATTAATAGTAATAGCATTAATAAAGAAAATAACCTGAGTAAAAGTAATATCAGAAACAAAATAATTATAAGGACAATAAAAATTATCAAAAAAGATTTTAATAGAATGTTGAGATAGATGAAGATTATAGAAGAGATGATCCATTAATTGAAGAAGGTATTTAATTATATATAAAGTAGATACTTAAAAGTTTGATATAACAAAAGTGAAATAAAAAGAATTAACATAGACTTTAATAAAAATGCTGAAATATAGAAAAATAGAATGTCCAGTATGTTATGACAAAATTCATTAATCATAAAAGATATGGAGTTGTTCTTAATGTTATTCACCATTTCATTTATATTGTATGCATAAATGGATAAAGAATTTAAATCCAAAAAATATCAATGAATTATATTATTGGAGTTGTCCAAAATGTAATTTATTAATATAAGATAAATTACCTGAATATAAATGCTTTTGTGGAAAATAAATAGATCCAGAAGCAGATTCCTATTCTATTCCACATTCATGTTCATAGAAATGTTAAAAAAAGAGAGGATAATATTGTCCACATCCTTGTCCTATGGATTGTCATCCTGGACCATGTCCTGAATGTCATGTATAAGGAGTGGAAATTAAATGTTTTTGTGGCAAAAAGACTAAATAAATGCAATGTAGTGAGATTAAAAAGGATTTTTCATGTGGTTTACCATGTGGTAAAATGCTTAATTGTAATAATCACTTTTGTTAGAAACCAGTAAGAAATATAATAAATTATTATCTTAGTGTCATAATGGAAATTGTTAACCATGTAATGAAACTCATGAAGTCTAATGTTATTGTGGATCATAAAAAAATATTATTAATTGTGCCTAACCTTCTTATTCTTGTGGTAAAATATGTGGTAGAATACTTGATTGTGGTAAACATTAATGTTTAGAATAATGTCATCCATAATGTTAACCTTGTAAATTAAAACCAGAATTAGTAATTTATTGTGCATGTGGAAAATATAAAATTAATGATTTAATAAAAGAATAACGAAAATCATGTTTAGATCCAATTCCTAATTGTGGAACACCAATAGAAACTACTCTTTCATGTGGACATAAAAGTAGAACAATATGTGGTTCTGATTATCCTGAATGTGTTTAAAAAGTAAAAGAGAAATGTAGATGTGGAGATTCTACTAGAGTAAAATTATGTAATGATAAATCAATATTTTTGTGTGATGATGTATGTAAAAAGAGAAAATCTTGTGGAGTACATTTTTGTTAAAAAGAATGTTGTCCACCTGGAGATTAAGAAGCTCATTTATGTTTGAAAGTATGTAATAAACCACTTCCATGTGGTCAACATAATTGTGATTAATTTTGTCATATTGGTGCATGTTAATAATGTCCAATAATTATTAACTAACCTCTATATTGTCCTTGTGGTAAAAGTGTAAAAAATCCACCAATGAAATGTGGTACTGCTCCTCCTTCATGTTTAGAAGTTTGTAATAAAGTATTAGAATGTGGTCATATTTGTAAATCATTATGTCATCCTGGACCATGTCCTAATTGTATGGAATAAATTGATAAATTCTGTAGATGTAAATAAAATAAACTTTCAACTATTTGTTCAAAATAAGCTGTATGTAGAAATGTTTGTAATAAAATATTAAAATGTGGACATAAATGTTAAGAAATATGTTAAGCATAAGAGGAATGTCCTGGAAATGGACCTGAAGGTTGTAGTTAAAAATGTAATGCTAAAAAATTATGTAATCATTTATGTTAAGAAATATGTCATCCAAATGAATCTTGTCCAAAATAACCTTGCAAAATATAAATTAGAATAGTATGTAGTTGTGGTAATAGAGATACTTTTACTGAATGTGGTGTTGTTGATGAATTAATTGAAAAAACTTTAAAATGTGATTAAAAATGTTAGAATATTAAAAGGTTTGGAGCTTTTTATAAATCTAATTCTCTTGTAGATATTGAAAAAACATATTATCCAGATATCTTACTTAAATATACTCATTATAATTTATAGAATCTTTAAAAAATGGAAGAAAAGATTGAACATTTCCTTGTACATTCTAAACCAGAAGATGGATATGATTTTTCATTTCCTAGGTCTGAATGGTCTGAATTGAAGAAAGTGGCTTTATAAACTCTATTTTCTAGACATTATAAATTTGATGTCTAAATTCTAAAAACTCAAAATAAATAATATTTATTCAGTCTTTATAAAACTTAAGATACTTGTATACCTAAAATTAAATTATCTGAATATTTTATTAAAGTATAAAAAGGAATAATCAAAAGAGATCATCAACCATTTAAAGCAAAAATTAAGACATTTTATGAAGTTTCATCAACTGATGCTTATAATATTGAAAATGCCTTGTCTGATTTTAAAGGAGACTTTTATTCTGAAAGATAATCTTAATAATATATACTTAATTTTTGGGATGAAGCTCAAGCTGAATTAGCACTTAAGAAACTCAAAAAAGCAGTTGGATTATTAAATGTAAATTGGGTTTTAGAGATGAATCAATAATGTTTAGATGAATATAAAAGAATATTTGATCCTGCTTAAGAGACTGATATTATTATTAAACCAAAGAAAATGAAATAATATGAATATGAAGAATAAACAATAGAAATATAATATACAAAATTAGAAGAGGAAAATTTCAATAAACTATAAAAATAATATTCTGACAAAGCCAAATTAACTAAAAAATGTGATGATGAAGAAATCGAAGAAAGAATCAATAATTAATAATTATCTATTTTCGAATAAGATGGATTTTATTAATATGAAATTTAACCCATTAGAGATAATATTATTAGATAATATAAATAAGAATAAAAGCCATTTACACCAGAGTATGTAAGAACACCAGATACTTTATGTAAAACAGTTGATTTCTTACTTCAAAACTTCTTGAGAGCAGATGATCCAGATTCAGATTTCAAGAAACCTATGTAAGGAGATACTCCAAGAGATATTGTTTATGAAGACATTTATGAATTCATACATGATAGATTAAAATAAATTAGAGCTGAATTGAATTACCTTCAATATGAGGATGAGAGAATTTATGGTATTAATATTAATTCAATATTTTTTAGTTAAAATCATTCGATTTTATGTATTATCTCATTCTTAATTAATTGATAATCAAGAAAATCTTAAAATCTTATGTGAATTACTTAAGACATTCAAAAATGATGAAACATTATAATATATTTTAATATTATCTTGTTTTAATGAAATTCCAGAATGTTAAGAATTCTATTCTCAAATGTTATAGATAAAGGAATAAGAAGATTAAAATCCTATAATAAGATTAGTTACTTAAATACATTCAAAATAATATCATAAATATTTTGATTTCTATCATAAGTAAGAAAATTAATTGATTAAATCATTAATGCATGGTTTCCTAAATATTATGATTAAATAAGTGAATTAATAATTCTAAGAAATAGTTTCAAGTTTAGAATAAGATTAATAATTTATAGCTATAAATAAATTATTAGAATAATTATAAATAGAAGATAAGAATAATTTAATTGAGTATTTAAATTAATTGGGGTTGAATGATCTTTAATTTTAAGTTTCATAATTAGATACTGAAATTGAAGAAATAAATATCTCATAAATTTTATAATAATTAAAGAAAAAGAAACCATTTGAAATTCTAGATATTGATAGATTAGTAACAATATTCTGATATAATAAATTTAGAATTTTATTTGTCCAAAAATATTATATATTAATAATAATATCCGTTTATTATATTTATTTTAATGTATAAAAAATATTTATTTATCTCTCTATTATTAACATTAGTTATTTGTGAAGGAGGATATTAGAATGTCAAAATAAAAGAATTTATGAGTTAGAATAATGAAATATTTACATATATAAATGAAATATTAGATGATGAAGCAGGACCAGAATATTTCCTTTGGAAAATAGAAAGTGTTTAATAATAAATTGTTTCAGGAATCAATTATAAAATGGTTGTTGATTATTAAAAAAAAGAAGATCCTAATCAATATATTCAATTTGAGATCATAGTTTACGATTAGTAATACTTTGATAATAATTTAATTTAAGACCATGGACTAATACAAGAAAAGTGACTGCTTTAGAATAACAAAATCTTAGAGTTGATAATAAAAAATCAAATAATTTTAAATATCATGGTTGGGTAGATCTAGATACAAAATAATTTAGTGCAAAATATCCTCAAATTTAAACATTATTACTCTCAAAGTTAATACCTAAATTTGAATTAGAAGAAAATACTTCTATAATAGATATATAATCAGTTAAAGAATAATTTATAGCTGGAAAAACTTATTTAATATTTGTATAATTATCAGATGGTAAAAAATATAAAGGAACATTATATGAAAAGTAATATAATTAATTATAAATAAAGTCCATGGTCAAAGAAAATAGAAGTTGTAACAGTGGAATTAGAAGAAGAAGATCAGTGATTATTAAATTTATTAATAGTAAAAAAAAAATAATATGTTAAACAAAATTTAAATGAGAATTCATATGAATCAAAAAAACTATTTAAAAATATCCAGTTTTCCTTTTTATCTCAAAACTTATTTATCATAATTAAGTGATATAATTTCATAGGAACCATTAACTTAATCAACAGGAACAATTTTCTTAAAAATTGCTGGATTTTTCCTTTTAACATTATTTTCATTTTAATCTTTAATTTTATGTTCATTTAACATTTTTTAAACACTTTAAGTTTCTTTCACTAATTTATTCTCTCCTTCTATCTATAAATAAGTATATTAAATACCTAAAGATTATCTAATTATTAACCAACACTAGCAACTTCATTTACCTTATCTTTCCTTTCTTCAAATCTTTAAGCAATACTTCTAGGTCTTTTGTATATAGCTTAATAATGAGGATTTTTAATTATTTCATGTCCTTACTCTTTAATTTTTTTATGTTATTCTACAGCATCAGAACTTGATCTAAGTTATCTTTCCTAAAATGAATCTCAATATTACCCATAATTTATTGCCATATCTTTCTGCATCAGTTTAAATTATTTCCAATAACTTTTTATCTTCCACTCTTTCACGTTCTACTTATATTTAATTGTAAATAGATTAAGTAATTGGTCTATTACATTATTAAGCTGATGAAACTACTCTTCGTTACCATTTTTATTATTAATTTTCAAATTATTTGATAATTCTATCATCTTTAGCTGCAACAGCTTAATCTGCTTTACTTAATTTTTTAAGATGTAAATATTATTATTAAGTCTTTCTATTGAGAATTTATTAGATTTCATTTTCAACTTAACTTGGTTCCATATCAATTTGAATAAATTCAGCTTCCTCTTAAACACTTAATTATTACGATTGTTTATTTTTAAATTCTTTATATGTTGTTGGTTTAATTTTACGATGAACTTAAATAATTTCTTCTATTGGTTGTGATTTATTTAATCTCTTATCAATAATTTCAGGTTTGCCAACAACATAATAAGGTACAATCTTACCATCTCTATATAATTAAGATTCATCTATGTCATGTTGAGTCATAAAAATGTTTGGATGTTAAATTAGTGCAATTTGTTTTCTCAACAAATAATGTTAAACTGAAGACATTAAATTAATATAAAAATAATAAAAATGAAAATTTTAATGTTATCTATGATATGTGTCATTTATACATTTGACTTACCAGGTATACAACAAAAGACATATTCTGAGGGATAATAGATACCTGTATTAATAAATGAAATGACCTCAGAATCTACTCAACTCCCTTATGATTATTATGATCTTGATATTTGCAAACCTGATTCGACTGAAAATCAAAATTAAAACATTGGATCCATGATCTTAGGCACTTTAACATAATAATCTAAATATTAAGTAATTAAATAAATAATATGATAGATATTTATGAATTATGATATCACTGATGAAATACTTTGTGTTAAAAATTTTACATAAACAGAATAGAATAATTTAAAATGGTTTATTGATCATGATTATAGAGTCAATATGTTAATTGATGAATTACCTATTCTATCTAATAATTATTTAAATAATACAATTATTGGAGTACCTTTAGGAATTAGAAATATAAATTAATATTCATTTTACAATCATTACAATTTCAAAATAGAGATTTATAATACATCTAAATCAGATATTAATTAGACTTTTAGTATTAATTCAATAACAGTTGACTTTTAATCTAAATGTATGGATAGTATTGAAATAGATTCTGGAATCAATTGTCCTATAAATTAAATTATGAATATAACTTATTCTGTTAAATATCTAATGACTAATTCATCAAATAGATGGTCAGCCTATTTAAATATAGTATCAGATTCTGATTAATAATGGATATCTATTAGCATAACTTTTACTGTATCTCTACTCTTAACTGGTTTAATTGCTTGGTTTATTAGATTTACTATAAAAAGAGATGTATTAAAATTTGAAATGTTGCCATAAGAAGAGAGTGATGGTTTAATTGATTAAATGGGATGGAAATAGATTAGTAGAGATGTATTTAGACCTCCTTCTGGCATATTATTTTTGAGTGTTTTAATTGGAACTGGTATTCAATTTACTATTATGACTATTTCCATTTTCTTTCTTTCATCAATAGGATTTTTGTATTCTGCACATACAGGACATTTAGCAACAGTAGTAATTGTTGTTTATGTATTTACTGGCAGTTTAAATGGATATTATTCTTCTAAATTTTATAAATATTTTAAAGGTGAATATTGGTTATTATGTACTTTGGGAAGTAATTTGGCATTTCCAATAATGGCTTTATTTATATTTGGAATTGAAAATATTGCATTAATGTTTGAAGAGTCTTCAAGTGGATTAGATTTTAAATCTGGCATTACATTTATTGCATTATAGCTAGGTATTTAAACTCCATTAAATTTAATTGGATCATTTATTGGATTTAAGATTGAATCTCCTAAAAATCCATGTAAATATGGTTAAATTGCTTAAGAAATAACATAATAACCATTTTATTTGGATTATTTTTATAGTTGTTTGATAGGAGGACTTATATGTTTTATGTAAATTTTTAATTAAATTTATAGATCTGTTGGTCTTGAGATTAGTTAAATAATGTAATTAATATGGAAGAATTCTTATTATGAATTCTTTGTATCATTATTTTTTACTGCAATTTTATTGATTATTATTAGTGCTGAAGTTTCAATCTTAACAGTTTATTTGCTTCTTTAAAATTAAAATCATAGATGGTGGTGGAAAGCATTCTTTGTACCTTTTACTTCAGGAGTATATTTATTTATATATTCAATATAATATTACTTAGATTCATTGTAATTTACAAGGTATATTTAATAAATTAATAAGATTCTCAACAATATTATATTATTTTGGTACTATGTATATGGCATCTTTATGTCTGGGATTAATTTGTGGAACAGTGGGTTTCTTAGCAAGTCATATATTTGTTAAAAAAATATATTCAATGATTAAATTAGATTGACTGACTGAGTGTAAATATTTATTTTATTTTTATATAAATAAATATATAGCAAATTTTAGATATAAATACAATATATAAATAGAGAGTAAATAAATTTATTTGAAATATTATTTTAAATAACGGAAGATATGAATCCTCTTTTAAGACATAATAATGCTGAAAGTATATTTTTAATGATATATTAATTGATTAGGTTCTGCTTTAAACATTCCAGCTCCATAACCAAAAGATTATGATTGGGTTTTGATATCTGGATTTATAGTAATTTTGACACAAGTTGGATTTGCATTTATCGGAGCAGGATCAGTTAGATATAAAAATGCATAATCAGTTGTAATAAAAGTATTTTTGGGACTATTTTTAACAATATTAATTTGGTGGTTGGTAATAATTATTATCTAAATTAGTTTGGTTATGGTTTTTCTTTTGGAGATGATTTCTAAACTAAATTTTTGGGAGGTACAAAATTAGGAGGTGCAAAATGGGAAGCCACTTAATATGGAAATGATTATACAAATTTTGGTAATTAATTAATTATATATAATATAGTATTTAGAGCATCAGGAGCAGCTATTGGTATTGCAATTTTAGCAGGTGCAGCAGCTGAAAGAATGACATTTTTAGGATGGTCTGTATTTACACTTATTTATTCTGGATTTATATATGCAGGTTTAACTCATTGGACTTTAGCTGCAGGATGGTAATGTTTAAATTTATTATCAAAGGTTATCTTCATTGGGATTCAAAGATTTTTCAGGTGCAGGAGTAGTTTTCTTTGCAGCAGGAACAGCAGGATTGATTTTAACTATTATCTTGAAACCAAGAAAAACAAGATTTGATAATGGTGCCACAATGGAATTCAGTAGACATTCACCACTTTATATTGGATTTGGATCATTATTAGTATTTGCAGGTTGGTTATTCTATAATGGTGGTGTTGTTGCTTAAGGATCTAAATCATAATATTCTTAAGGTTTGGTTGCAGTAAATACTTTAATTGCTGGAGCAACAGGTGGATTTGTTAGTTTTGTTATAAGATATTTCTAATATGAAACAACAAATTTAGTAGCATTATCAAGAGGAGTAGTTAGTGGATTAGTTGCTGTTAGTGCTGCTGCAGATGATATGAAACCATGGACTGCATTTGTTTATGGATTTATTGCAGCATTATTTTACAGTATATTAGCCAAAGCAACACCATCTGCTCATATTGATGATCCAGCTGAAGTTATTCCAGTTTATCTTGTAAATATATTAAATTTATATTAATTAGGGATCTGGATTTGTTGGTATTTTCTTATCAGGATTTTTTGATACTAAAGCTGGAGCATTTTATGGATTTGGATTTAAATTATTAGGTTACTAATTATTAGGATTATTGATAATTTTTGCCTGGGTTGTTTTCTTTACTTTATTAATTCTATTAGCTTTGAAAGGTTTTGGAGTTCTCAGAATAGATGATGAGACAGAAAGAGTTGGAATTGATAGAGCATAATGTAATATCTCATATTTAAATTTTAGGCTTGGGTGAAGCTGTTGTATTTGCTAACCAAGTTGATGAAGTACCTCTTGTTTAAAAAACTGAATTAGCTAATTTACCAAGTTAGTTAGGATCAGGATATAGATCAGGATTCAAATGAAATTATATAATTTCAAATTTATTATAAATATTTTATTAAAAAATTTATCATATTTTTTACATAATAATCATAAAAATCAAATTGTTTAACAATTTTTATGTTTGATTTTACCAAATGTCTTTTACTTTAATTAATATTTATTAATATAAAGAATTGAATACTTTATAATTTTTGATTATTATAAAAAGTTACTAAGAATTTTTTAATATAATATTATTAATACATAAATTATATGTTTTTCTTTTACTTATACTTTATTATTTTAAGTAATAATTTAGGCATTTTGATAATTTCAAATAATTATGGAAATTTCAAATTATTAAATATAATATAATAATTAAAAATAATATTACTATTCTCTTTATTTAATATTACATATATTAATTAATTTAAATTTAAGATATATTAATAGGTTGATATGAAGATTTAAGAATTATATATGTAAATTTAATAAAAGTGATTGATAATTATATTATCTCAGGAAAATTAAATTTTTTTATTGATATTTTCTTTGTCCAAACTATCTTGTTTAGATTTTTTAATAGTTAATTAAACTGACCATTTCTTTTTCTCTGATGATTAACCGGATTCTAATATTTATGAATTTTTGTCTTTTAAACCTTTTTATATAAAATAGAAATAAATACTTTTTAAAGTTAATTATGTTCTAATTCTATTTAACTAGATTAGTAAGTATTTTTTAATTGGTAAACCTTATTGTTAAGCTGCATATTATAATTTGAATTTAAGAAATATTAGGGCTGAGAATTAGATTTATTGTAATTCTCTGGATTTGAGAATCCAATTACATAATAATATAAATGCACTTAATTTTCTAAATGAGAGAAAAACAACAGAAAGTTATTTCTTTTTATGTAGAATTGTCAACAGGTATTCAGGATAAAGATCATATTTTTTAAGTGCTTTCATAACTTTATCATCAAGTTGTTAGTATTGAAATGTAATTTCATTAAGTGGGACTAAAAATTTGTATTGAGATACTTTTTTTATAATTTTTTGTCAAAGGAGCATCAGAATATCTTATTTCAGAATAATTATCATTAATCCAAAGATATCTTGTAACTAATTTTTTATCAGTTTAATTAATTTTGAGAATTTCTTATCTATTACATACAAATTATTGGATAGCTTATTGTAATCTAATTTCATAATTTTTGATTGCATAATCTAAACGATTAATGAATAATTTATTGAAATTTTGTAAGACAATTTTATCATTAATCATCAATTTATCTGATTTATATTATACTTTTGTATGATTATCAATTTATGTTCTAGAAATAACAAGATTTCTCTATTAAAGTATAAAAAATAATATTACTTAATTCAATTCAACCAAATCTCCTTTCATAGTAATGTACATAGTTAACTGTTAAATTTTTATGTGTTTATAAAATAATTATTAATTTAAACGATATGATATCAAAATTATTGTCAATATTATTTGGAACAATATTTACTATGTTAATAGGTTATTGTTGGTATTCAATTATATTTCGAAATCGATATATGAAAGAAGCAAATATAAAATATGAGAAAGAAAAAGAAAAAGAAAACAATTAATAAAATAATTAGCCATTATTATTTGAACTAACAGGAAGATTTTTATAAGCTTGTTTAATAACAATCTTTTACAATGTATTAAAGTCCAAAGTAATGACTCATAATAAATTATAGGATGAACGTGATTTAATTTTGGCGCTTACTTTAGCTGTGTTTTTTTGTTTGAGTTTTCAAGTACAATACTACACATCTAAAGTTGTTTGGGAATAGAAGACATGGAATTATTTTGTTATAAAGGTGTGTGAACAATTTATTTCGCTCTCCACTCTTTCCATAATTGCATACATTTTTGTAAAGTGATCTATGATTCAAATTTTTCATATGTTATCAATGCGCCAAAATTACTTGTTTTCTTCTAGGCACATTATCAGGTACAGAACCAGGTTTTTGGTTTGATGCCGTATGTTATGCCAACTCTGGTGGAACATTTTATCCACTTTTAATCAAATATTCTTTTAAATCATAAAATAGATCTTAATCTGAATTAGTAAGAAATGTCACAGCTAATCCTCTTTTTCCTGCTCTACCTGTTCTACCTGTTCTATGAATAAAATCCTTTTAATAAATTTTAACAAATACTTAAATATTTTTTGGAGCATCAAAATTAATAACCATTTAAACACCTTCAACATGTAAACCTCTAGATGCTAAATCTGTAGCAATTAAGATATCAATCTTTTTAGACTTAAATCCTTCAACTGCTGCTTCTCTTTGTTATTATGTTTTACTTCCATGATAAACAACAGAATTATACTAAAATATTTTGTATTATTATCATTACTCCATATTTCTCTAATGTTTTACTTAATATTTCAACACTTTTCTTTTAATTAGCAAAAATTATAATCGGAGGTTTATTTTATGCTAATAATTACAATAAACGATTTCTATAATTAAATAATCTAAATTACTTTTTAGCTGCTTCATTAATCATATCTATTTTTTATTCTATATCTTTTTTACCACCTCCTGGTTCACCTATACTAATAAAACAAAATGCTCTTAAATATCTTTTTGCTAATTTTTCTACTTAAGGAGGCATTGTGGCTGAAAATAAATGAGTTACTCTATATTACTTTTCTCCAGCTTATGCCAATTTCTCTTCAAATTCAGCTGCTATATCATCTTCTGATTTCATTTCAGTTGTAATTGAATCCAAAATATAATTTACATCTTATTCAAATCCTAAATCAATCATTTTATCTGCTTCATCTAATACAATCCATGAACATTATTCTAATACCAAATATTTTTTCATCAATAAATCTTTTATTCTACCTGGTGTTCCAATTAATATTTCTATTCCTTTTTTTAAATGAAATTCTTATTCTTCTTCTTTTCTTCCTCCTACTATTACAAATGATCTTAAATTATATCCCTAAGATAATTTTTAAAATTCTGCTTCAATCTAAATAGCTAATTCTCTTGCTGGAGCCATTATTAATGCATATGGTCCATCTTTACATATTTTATCATCTTATTTTGGAAGTGTTGATAAATAAGTAATTAATGGTATTAAAAATGCTGCAGATTTACCACTTCCTGTAGGAGCAATACCAATCATATCTTTACGTTCTAAACCTATTGGTATTGTTTGCATCTATATTGGTGTTGGTTTAACATAATTTAAATTTCGAATAGAATTCATTAAATTTTTTGGTAATTAAACTTCATTCCATTCTCTTATAGGATTTGGAACACGACCTCCTTTAATTATGATATCCATATCTTCTCTAAATATTCTCCAATCTCTTGGTTACATTTGACCTAAAGATTTCTTGCTCCAATGATCTGATGATAACAATTAATCAGGATCTTTATCTTCCTATGCTTTAGAATGTAAACCACTAGCATTTATCCTATTTATATAAAGTGGATTAAAATCAATTGAAGTATCTTCTGTAGCATCCCATTCAAAATTAAATATATTTTTAAACTTTTCAGAAGGCTTTAAGATTTTTTTCTTCTCTTTATTCAATCCTAAATATTGCATTTTAATATGCATTAATTCTTAATTTTCTCCATCCATTTTTACAGGAACTGTTGCTCTAGTGTTAGATGTTATATAACGATTGTTTTTCTCTTTACTTCTTGATCTGCTTCTACTTTTTGATTTTTTTCTCTCTAAAATTTATCTTACTTTTTGATCATCACCTATATTTAATATAAATATTACTTCTAAAATGAATATATTCTTTACGAATTTAAGCAATCTATTATTACTTTTCTTATTATTATTTATTTTATTATTCTTCTTATTTTTATTTTTATTCTTCTCTTTATTATTTAGATAAAAACTGAGGCTTAAATATAGACTTTCCATTTTGAATTAATTAATTATTATGATCCTATTATTCCTCAGCTAATTCTTCAGCAGCAATCATTATTTTTAAATAAATTATTAAAATGTAATTATATATTTTTTCTTTTTTTTTAATTTCTCAAATGTTAAAAGATATATATGATATAAATTATTTTTATAATCCATTATATTCTAAAAAATACAAAAATAAAGATGATAAAAATCAAAATTAATTTATTTATTAATATTCTAAATGAGGTACATTATAAAAGGTAGAAGTTTCTTTTCAATTCAATTTAGGTGGTGTTTGGAAGAATAGTGAAGATGAAATTCTTAAAGCAGCAGTTATGAAATATGGTCTCAATCAATGGTCACGTATTTCATCATTACTTGTTCGAAAATCAGCAAAATAATGTAAATAGCGTTGGTATGAATGGCTTGATCCTTCAATCAAGAAAACAGAGTGGACAAGAGAAGAATAAGAGAAGGTCCTTCATCTTGCAAAGATATTTCCAAGTTAATGGAGGACAATTGCACCTATTGTTGATCGTACACCCATGTAATGTGTTGAATAGTATGAAAAACTCTTGGATCTGGTATATAATTGATTTTATTATATGTTAGGCTCAAGGTAAAGATCTAAATGATCCAAATGATCCTAGAAGATTGAGACCAGGAGAAATTGATCCAAATCCTGAAACAAAAGCTGCTAGACCAGATCCTATTGATATGGATGAAGATGAAAAGGAAATGTTGGCAGAAGCAAGAGTCAGACTTGCAAATACAAAAGGTAAGAAAGCCAAAAGAAAGGCAAGAGGAAAGTTAATTGAAGAAGCAAGGAGACTAGCTTTATTATAAAAAAAGAGAGAATTAAAGGCTGCTGGAATTCAATATATTAATCATAGAATTGAGAAACATCATATCAAATTATAAGATCGCAAATATAAGGGTATCAATTATAATAGAGAATTGGCCTTTGAAAGAACAGTTCCTGATTTTGTTCATGAAACAACAGGAGAAGAACCAGAACCTGATAAAAAGATATCTAATGTTAGTCTTTAAGCATTAGAAGGTTAGAGAAGAGATGAAGAAGAAGAAATAAGAAGGAAGATTGATTAAAGAAGAATTAAGAAATTAAAAGAAAGAGAATTAGATTAAGCTGTCACTTTTTAAAATAAATATTAAGTTAAATTTACACCTTAAACTAAATTATAATTACCATAACCATAATTGAAGGATTAAGATTTAGAATTATTAGGTAAGATTAATGCAGTTAATGAAATATCTGAACATACAACTTCTGCTACTCGAGCACTTGTAGGAAACTATTCAACAAGAGATTAGAGTTAATCAAATATCAGAACTCCAAGAGCACCTAATACAGTTTTGAGAGAAGCTCAAAATATTATTGCTTTATAACATACAGAAACTCCATTGGTTGGAGGAATGAATAATCCTATTGATATTATCAAGAATATTGGGAATTAGACACCAAATTAATTAGCAAATATGTTGAAGGAGACTCCTAAAAGATAAGTTGATGTATCAAATGATGCTTTCGGTATTAATATTGAAGAATACGAGAGGGCATGGGAAGAACCAAGTTAAAGTGTTGCATATGTTAATGCTGAATAAGAAAGATAATAGTAATTAAAGAATGAATAGAAGTTAAAAGAAATGATTAAACAAAAATTAAAATCATTACCTAAACCTAAGAATGAATTTACTATTGAAGTTCCTAAAGTGGATAATGAAGAACAAAAAGAAATGGAATTGTAAGATATTATTATTATTATTTAAGGGAAATGGATGCTGAAGATAAACTAAAAATATTAAAACAAAAGAAATTAGTAGATTAATAAAAGAAATTCAGACAAAAATCATAGGCACATCAAAAGAATTTACCTACACCTAAAGAATTACCATCTGGACCAATTTATGAATAAACAGAAGATTAATTTAGAAATGAAATAGAAGAGATTCTCAATTACACAGTGATTTAATTAATAAAAGAGGATATTTATGATAATTCAAATGGTTTAGGAGATATAAATGTAGCTAAGGAATTATTATAAGAAGAAAGGATAAAATTATTGGGAGATTAGAATTTGAATGATCTTGATATGATTTGGAATAAAGTTAGACAATAATTATATTATGATTATGAAGAAAATAAATTTATTAATATTGAGAAAATAGATGAAGAAGTTAGAATGGCTATTTTAAATGAATATTTTAGAAGAACAAGAGTATAATATGAAAAATTGAATAAAAAATAATAATTCTTTGCTAATAGAATTGCTAAATTAATGAAAGGTTATGAAATGAGAAATGCTTAATTAGAAAAGGAAATTACATAATTGAATGATAAGATTAGTGAAATTGAAATGAATAAAGAAGTATATTCATAAGCATTAAATCATGAAAGACACATATATAGAGATAGAGTTTAAGAATTAGTTAAATATCATGATATGTTATAAGTTAAGAGTAATGAATTGTAAGATAAATATTAATATTTGACTAAATAACTATAAGAATTAGATTAAGATTAAGAAATTTTAGCATGATATTTATTATTATTATTATGTTATTATTATTTCATTAATGAAGAGTATATTATTAATAATAAATAAAATTAAAAATATACCACACTATTTACTATATTATAAGCAATAACCTACTCATAAGATGTTGCATAATCAATTTTTGAATCAAGTAAGCCAGCATTAATATTAATTAATAAAAATTCTCATTAAGATCAATTAAATGAATTTAGGAAGGTGAACAAATAAAATTTATAATTGGTTGAAGCAAATAGTTCAAATAAATTAAATTAATCCAATTACCTCAAATACATCAATTACCTACTACAGTAGAATATGATTATCTATTCAATTAATGAAATTTAATGTTAATAAATGGTAGTATGTATAAATTATAAATTATGATGATTAAATCATTAAAGAGAAATTGAATAAATTTATTATGAAATATAAAGATGGCTAATTATATTATGTAATTCAAAGTGAAGACATATCTGTAAAATATATAAAAGAAGGTATAGAAATCATAGTAGGACATAATTTTGATGAACATGTCAAGGATATAAAATAGACATTATTTAATTTTATTTTTATTCTTAGGACTGTGATTTATTTGCATCAGTGGTTTTAAACTTAATTAGATAAAATAATCAAGTTAGAACATGAAAGTCTATAATTAAACCAACTTAATTGAGAATTAGTAAAATAAATGGTGAATTGAATAAAATTAATGGTCTTAAAATATATAAATATCCTACTTATTATTTATATAATATGAATGATAAGACATCTATTTAATATAAAGGAGATGGAACAAATGAAGAAATGTTAATGTTGATAGAGAGAATGATTATTTGATATATTTATTTATCAATTAAAATGGCTAGCAAATCTCAACCTCCAATTTAAGAGAAGACTTTTCATGAGTGGTCCAAAAATAACTTTTATAGGACCAGTTACATCAATCATTACACATAAGTAAATGAATAAACTTAATTGATTCAGTTACCTTAAGAGCCTAAGAATACTGCTGTGCCTGGATATGCAGGATATGTCCCATATGTTTAATCAGAAAATCTTTATGGAGAAAGATTCTCTGAAGTAGCTAGAAAATCATTTGCAGATTCTAAGTTGGGCAAGTTTAATAGATTGTCTTCAACAGGATTCAATTTTGATGCTAAAGAATTGATTGATCCTCATAAAGAAGCTTATTCACACAAATATGGTTGTCAAACTATATTAAAACATCATCCATGCACTCATATTGATAAAATGATCACATCATATTAAGACGGTTTCAAGAAGCCTTAAAATCTTGTTGCTCCAACGTAAGAAATTTAGAAAATTAATCTTAGATTTCGAAAGACTGATAGATATTTAGAAACCTAATAAGCCTAAACAAAAACTTCAGGGTTCTAGAAGAATCATATGCAATTTGATGGATCTGGTTGGATTCCTCATGAAAATATGAATGGTTATAATTTTATTTTTATTTTAAGGTGATTAAGTGAGAACAGAGTATCGTATATAATACAATTAAGAAAAACCTTTTCATAGAAATCCTATCCAATTCAAACTAAGAAAGATGAAATAAACAGAAATGAATTATAAGCATACCTGATTTAATAACATATTTAAATATATATATTTATTGATTGTTCTAAGATTAAATGTATTTTTTACTATAAATATCTATAAATACTGGTTGAAGATGTTTACTTATACCATACAATTATTATAGTAATTGCGGAATCCTTTATAAGATCTTCCAATTTCATCCATTTTGTCTAATTAACATTTATTAATAAGTAAATATATCCATTATCTTTTCTAATATTCTTAATTAATCTGTCTTTCTAGGTTTTGTATGATGAGGGTGTTTTGTAAATGTCTTTTTTCTAATATTACTAAGAATTCTATTATCCGCTTAAGGTATTATATTTTAGCTTAAGAGTGTAATTAGATCAATTGCCATTTTCCTGGGGGAAATATTTATATGAGCTTTATTGGTAATTTTATTTTTTTCTTGTTCTTTAAAAGAGGATGATTGTTTGAAATCAATTATTGATTTTGAAAGTAAATAACTAGAAGATTAAGAGGAAAATTAGGTTTGATTTAGTATAACTTTTTATTTATTTTATGGCACTACTGTAATTTATATAGATGCATAAGTTCTAGCATTTTAGGTTTAAACTATTTTATTGATTTAATAGAGATAGTGCCATTATTCCGCTTAAATTTATAGACATTTGTATTTTCAATTAATCTTCTTATTATTAATTCTATAGTATGTAAATTCTTAGGATTGTTAATGTGAATAAAATGTTAGTTAAGGAATTGTAGATGGAGATAAATTTTGGATTCTTTTTTTTTTGTTAAGTAGTAATACAAATTTATGGTATAGGATAATCAATTATTGTTAATGAAATAATTAAATGTTATAATAATCAGATAAGGACTTTACCCTTGAATAAGTGGTAGGCACTGGAACATTTGGAATGGTGTACTTGGTAAATTTGGTTAAGAATGAAACTAGGCTACTGATAATAAGACTAAGGAGAAGGTGGCAATAAAGAAGGTGTACCAAGATCGGAGATATAAGAATAGAGAGCACCTTATCATTCAAGAATTGAATCATCCATGTGTGGTTATGTTAAGACACTCCTTTTTCACACCAGGGGAAAATGTATATCAATTATACAATCATTCTCTAGCCATAAGATGTGTACCTAAATCTAGTTATGGAATATGTACCTGAGACACTTTCAAAAATGATTAGATAAATGCGTAAATAGAAGCAAAACATTCCTGCTCCATTAATAAAGCTCTACAGTTACTAAATGATTAGAGCATTACTTTACTTGTAGGGTATTAGAGAAAATATTTCACTCTAGCAATTGGGATCTGTCACAGAGACATAAAACCTTAAAATATCTTGGTTAATTTAGAGAACAATGTTTTAAAAATTTGCGATTTTGGGTCAGCAAAAAGACTTGTTGTTGGAGAACCAAACATAGCATATATTTGTTCACGTTATTATAGAGCACCAGAATTGATATTTGGTGCTACAGATTACAATACTTAAATTGATATGTGGTCTATTGGTTGTGTTATAGCTGAAATGGTCATTCTTGAACCAATATTTCCAGGAGAGAGTGCTTAAGATTAACTTCTTTAAATAATTAAGATACTTGGCACTCCTACTCCAGATGATATTAATTAAATGAATCCTGCTAAAGCTGATGTTAGATTACCTATGATTAGAGGGAATCCTTGGACAAAAGTATTTGCAAAATAAAAACCAGAACCACTCTTTTTAGATCTAATTACATAAATGCTTACGTATTCAGTATTAAATTAATATTAGATATTCACCTAAAACAAGAATCCAACCAATTGATGCTCTTTTACATCCATATTTTGATGATATTAGAAAAGAAGGATTCTTTAATCAAAATTTTAAGACACCTAATCTTTTTGACTTCAATAAATAAGAATTAAGCATCAAACCAGAACTCTATTCCAAATTAGTTCCTTAATGGTATTAAAAGCTAAACAAATGATGAAGATTCTTCAAACAAATATTATATATTATATTTTATCTTCTAAGAATGATTTGTTTTATTTTACTTCTACAATCAAAATGATTAAATTTCCAATTAAAAAAAATTATTATTATTATTTTTAATAATGTTAGACCAAATGAGAATGGCAACTGTTCGTCGATAATCAGAATTAATTAAATAAAACAATTAATTAATAGAATAATAACCTAGAGGTAGATAATAATGTGTCAAACCTCATTAAATTTTAACAGAAATTGTTAATTAATGCATTCAACGTTCATAACATTCCATAGATGCACTTCAATAAATTAGAGCCAGATCTAAAGACAGAAGAAGTTCCTATAAAAAAACAACAAGATAATCAACTATAAGCAGTTATAAAGGATAAACATCTCCTAGTTTTAGACAAGACGATTAATCAGTCACATCATCTATCTAAGAATCTTTATAAAGTTAGTAACCTGTGAGATTGTTTAGTTTTATTGAAAATGAGCCTAGTTTCAGAGCTAAAGATATGCCATTATAAATTAATAAAGCAAGTTTACAAGCTAAGAAAAAGCCAATCATTTCACTTAAAGAAAATTAAAAAAAACTAACTAATATTGATCAATTGTTTTAAGAAGCATTACATAAAAGTTAATAAATTACAGAAAAGTTTTATCACTGAATACTAACTTTATATAAATCAATAATTATTTCCTAAAGTTAATCTATTTATTTTTAGAAATATATTGTAATTTTGATGGCTTTTATGAGAAATGTTAATTATTTTGATTGAAATTTAAGTTATCTCCCATTCCCCTAAAAACATCTTAAAATTATCTACACTACTTAGATTATAGATTAATTCATTATTATTAAGTGTTAAAAAAATTAAGATTTTAATAAAAAATAAGTAGACTTTCTTAAATCTTACTTTCAGTCTTTTACATTTCTAAAATATCAAGAATTTAATTGTTCAATACCCTATAAAATAAAATAGATAATCAAATTAAAAAGTAATACCAAGGTTATATATCATATGATTATTCCATTCATGATTGATTCAAAAATTCATAAATATGAATATATTTTTTAATTATTTTATAATTAATTAATCTCAAACTCTAAATCTACAAAAAAATTATATTTTTATCTTTTCATCATAAGCAAAAAAAGAAAATCTCATATTTTTCAATGTCTACTTTCGATTAAAGAAATCAGAATTTTTTTTGAATATGAATTTGAAATATAAAGATTTTTGTCTGTATTTTTGAAATCTTAAATCATTTTAACGAAAAAATATCTTTTTTTTAAACATATTTTATATTGAAATTAAACGAATCAATATTGAATTTTAGTATTTAATTGAATTTTTTTAGAAGGCCTAAATTAAAAATATTAAATAAGAAATTTCTTTTCTATTGAAGATTTTCTGTCTTTTATAATTTGAAGCCATGGCTGTAAATAACACTATACTTATAATTTTCTTAATATAAAATTTCTGTCTTAAAAGTAGCCTTTGGTTGAAAATATTAAATATTATAAAGATAGAAATTAATACCAAAACTGATAAAAATTAGATAAATATAAATAAATCTTGAATCAAAGTTTGATGATTATATATTTCATTAATTTAATATTTGAATTTTCACTATAGTCTTTTCTGTAATGGCTTAATCATAAACAACATTTATGATTTCAAGTGATGATGATTGAATATTGATTTTTAAATGATTATATTGTTGGAATGCTTGTTAAAATAAAGGGAAGAAACCAATGTAATTCATTTGATTAAAGCAATTATAAGTAAAAGAATAAGTCTTTTAAATACTACAAGAATTACAATTATTAAATTCTGCTTAGACTTTCATTCCATTTTCACATTTAATTTAGATATTCATTTTAAGTGGTCTAATTGATTTATCAACTACATATTCATAGTTACCATTTGTAATATAAATTTAATTAGTTTAAACTAATTATAAAAAGAAAGTTGGTAAAATGCTTAAATCAAATGCTTATTTTCTACTTGTTCTTATACTAACACATTCTAATGGGTTGTATGTAGTTGTAAATTAATATGCAACCCAAACTTGTTCATGTTTGTTTGGTGTTTGACTATTCAAAACTATTTTAATCAAATAATATATTTACATGATTTCCAAGTGTATGATAATGTTGTAGCGGTATAAGTGAAAAGAGCCTCAAGTGTTAAATAAGTTGTGTTTGGAAAAGTAATACTTTAAACAGCAATAACAAACCATCTATTTGGCTATTTTGAAATATTTCCACTTATAAATGTACCAGTAGAAGTCTATAATCCTAATTTAATAAATGCCTCTTCAACTCCAACTATTACTTAATAGCGAACCTACTTAAGATTAACAAATTTCCCTGCCACTTTAGTTATAGTTACAGTCACAGTGTTCATTGTTATGGAACTCATCTAGTATTTAAAATATCAGAATTACTGACAATTGAAAATCAACTGCACCAGAATAATGAATACTCGTAAGTACTATAAATCCAAATTTAGCATTTGGATTTTTAATTGTAAATGTTTTATCATCTGGATTGACCATATTAAAATTATTTATGACTTCTATTCTTTAATCATCAAGAGCAAACCATCTTATTTTTAGTCTTCTGACTCTCTTTTAACCACAATAAATTTCTGAGGTGAAAGCTAAAATATAAGTAATATAATTTACATGTTTTAGTTATAGTTGTTATTGATAATTTTAATTCTGCTTCTGCAACCTCTTAATCAAAGTATTCATGATAAAAAAACACTTAAGGAATATTTTCAAAGGCATAAAAAATGAAATAACAGCTACTTTTGAATATCCAAAATAGCATTTAAAAGTAGGATAAGAATCACTATTAAAATCTAGGGCCAAACCTGAGTCATATTTAATGAAGGCGAAAGTATTTAGAAGTATAAGAAAAGCTATAATTAATTTCATAATGAATTTTAAATAAGTTTTAATTAGAAATAATAAAAAATAATTTGAATAAAATTTAGCGTTAGTTTGGTTTTTATAATATTCATTTATTAAAATTTTATTAAATCTAAAAATAGTGAAGCACAAATTTTAGAACTCAAAAATACATAGGGATTGTTTATATTTTAAGAACATTTCTAAGATTTTATAATACTTTATCTAATCATAAAAAAAACTATAAATTTATTAATAAAAACTTAAATTATATTATATAAAATTAAAATTCTTACAAATATATCGATTATTTTGAAAAACACTCTAATTCCTTAATGAAAAAATTGAATAAGGAGGAATAGATAAAAAGATTATAAATTAAAATACAAATGAATATAAATATAGTTTATACAGAAGAAAATTTTATATTATCATTATTCTTCCTCTATTTCTTTTGCTGCAGCCTTTTTTAATTAAAGCTTTTTCAATTTCTTTTACAATTTTTTTTTTTTTTATAAGTTCTCTACGATCTTTTTTAGTCATGTCTTTTATAGATTTTGGTTAAGTAGTCTTGTTTGAGAGAGCAGCCTTTTTGATATATTATTTATGAAGTTTCTTTTTGATTTTTCTTGCCTTTCTGTAATTAACATGTTTTCGATTAATATTACGATCACCAGTCATTAATTAATCGTTAATTTTATTATTTCAAAATACAACAATGTTCCATACTCGACCTCATTTACCTACTTATCCTCAAAATCGTGGTATTCAATATCATTTACTCAAGTTCATAATAAAGGAGGGAGTGAAACTAGAAAGGCTATTGATCATTATAGTTATGCAATCAATGATGAAATAGGAAGAGGATTTAGCAGCCGTGTTTATAAAGGAAGAGATGAAAACACACTTGAACCAGTAGCAGTAAAAGTAAAAATAAATACAATTATCCAGGTTATTGACATGAAGATGGTTAAATAATCAATTCATGCACAATTATTAAAAAATGAAATAAATGCATTGAAAGCATTTAATAGTAAAAATATAATGAAACTTTTCGATGTCTTTTAAACATAGAATAATACTTATATCATAACTGAGTTTTGTGATTCGGTAATTCTAATTGTTATATGTACTTCAGGGAGATCTCAATAATTATATTAAGAAGAAAGGAAGAATTGATGAAAGTGAAGCAATCCGAATCTTGCAATCAGTAGTGAGTGCTGTCAATGAAATGAATTAAAAGGGATATATTCATAGAGACATAAAGCCAGCAAACATTCTTATTGATAAAAATCTTCCAAAATTAGCTGACTTTGGTTTTGCTGTGCCTGCTCATGAAGCTAGATTGTAAGGGAAGAATTTCAATGTAGGAACTCCACTTTATATGTCTCCACAAGCATTGAGATAACAAGGTCATACTGAAAAAGGAGATGTATGGGCTATTGGTGTTGTATTCTTTGAAATGTTATTTGGTAATAAATTTAACATAATTTCTAGGTAGAACACCATATAATGCCTCATCAGAAGCTGCTTTGATATCTAATATTATGCATTAGTCTTTAATAATTCCTTCTTCTCCTCCTATTTCAGACAAGGCTAAGGATTTCATTAGAAAATGTCTCTCTGTAGATGAGAATAAAAGACTTAGAGTAAAAGAGATGGTTCATCATGAAATAATTGAATAGAGAGCTTTAACACCTGTTGAAAGAGCTCCACCTCGAAAACCATTTGAAGAGATTACAAATTTAAACATTCCTACAGAACCTTCTTAAGTTTAAAAGTTTAAGCGATCTCAAAGTCAAGGAGTAAAAGAAGTTCCTACAAAAGAATATAAGACTCAATAAATAGAAGAAAAGAAAAAATAACATGAAGTTAAATAGAAGAAATTATAAGAATAAATTTAGAGATCATCAAGTTAATAGTAAGCACTATAACCATAAAAAATTACTAAAACTAGTGCTTTTGAAGAATAAGCTCCTGTTATGAAATAAAAAACTATTAGTTTAGAATTTAAATCAAATAATGAAGTCTTATTTAGTTAAATCAATTATTGTAGATTCTTATATAAATTCTCATAAAATCTCGCTAGTTGTAAAATAATTTCAACAGAAATAAGAGATAAATTATTATTTTTGATGGGTAAAAATATTGCAATAAAAATTAATAAATTGGCAACTATATTAGATAAGGAAAATAAATAAGTTAATATCTTTTAATTAGATGATTATGAAGGATACAAGAAAAGTGAATCTCATAGTAAATTTAGTTAAGCTATATCTGAATATAATGATAAATATATGAGACATTTCGAAAAGGTTTTAAAACTTGCATTTAAAAATGGTATATTTTTTATATTTATATTAAAGAATTTTAAAAAGATTAATTAATTGGTTGTCTTTGTAATAATGATATTACAGAGAATGAATCATTTTATAAAATTGCATTATAATACTTAAAACAAAGTATTAATGAAATTAAATAGAATTTTAAATCTATTTCAGGTTAAAAAGATTAATTATTACCTGAAGAAGTAAAAATAATATATTTATACTTTAGCTTTAAATGCCTTCATTCATTCTTTTTGGTCTTCATGGATATTAATAATTGATTTCGAAAACTATGGAAAATTGGTCAGATTATAAACTATTTTAAAAAGCATCATCACCTGAATTACTAATAGAAAGGAAACCAGGATAAATGAATTATGGATAATTGGAACAATTACTTTGAAATATATATATAAAATATCAATAATAATTGTTATATAATATCAAAGAAAATACTTATAAGATCAATTAATAAAACCTGGTCTTCTATAATTTACATCTTTGAATCTCACCATCTTTTTTTAAAAAGAATTAGTCTCTATATCAGAATCTCTTCTTTTTAAAATTGGACTTGGAGTAAAAGTTTTCACTTTTTAAATACATTCTGTTCCAATAATAAAATTATGATCATCAATCGAATTACTAATCTTTCTTTTCACTTAAGTTTTTTCTGTTTTAGGTGGAAGATCAGAATATTTTCTTCTTTAAATTATTTCAATTTCATTTATTTATTTTATTTTTTATTAACTCGTTGATGATTATTTTCTTTTGCTTTTATTAGTTTTTTTATTGTCTTAATATTAATATTAAGGGTTTTCTAATGGTGATGTTGACTTTTAGTTTTTTTTTTTTTTTGGACTTGAAGAATGATATTTTGGTATTATTTCATATACTTCCTTTTTTTTATGTTCTTTTTTATATACTTAAATTTAAGGACGAGGTGGTTAATCACTTTTCCTTTTTATTAACTTAACTTCTTGAGTATAAGTAAATTGATTCTGAAACTAGCTCTCTTCTGAAGGTACTCTTACTTTAGAAGTCATTAAAGATTCAAAAGAGATACTCTGTCTTGATGGAGAAGGTAGTAATGCATTTGGTAAATCTATTTAAGTTAATTAACTAACAGGAATAAGGGTGATCATCTTCTCTTATTCTGTTAATTTAGTTAAAGTTATTGAAGGTTGTCTTAAGGAATAAGACCTTTCCGTCATTTCTTTTTAGCCAGAACAGCCATTACCCATAATATATTACTTAATAATATATAATTATCAATTAAATTTTGTATCCCAATTTAAAACCTTAAATCTTTGCTGTCTTTAAAAATATCAAGGTTAGTAATTTTTAATTTCTTATTATTTTTAATTACATATTCAAATAATTGAATAATAACAACAAACTTACTTTTTATGATGATTCTTATGAATATAATTATATTAGTAGAATTGTAGATAAATTTTGGATTTAATAGGACTAATAAACTTTAAAAGACAATATTATAAACAAATAAAAGTAATATGTTTATCATTTTATTACTAAAGTGTAAATATAAATAAAAACATATCAATTGAGATATTCCATATAAAAAAATTAGATTATGAATTGAAAACTATTAAAGATTATAAATTTGATAATTAAAAAATGAAAATTGCTAAAATTTATAAGTATTTATATTTTGTATATTAATATATATTATTATAAATATAAAAAATGTGAATATCATATATATATATATATTTAAGATAATATATTAATCAATAATCACGATTGCTACTTTGGTAATCTTCATTAATGCTTTGAGTGATTGATTCATTCAAATTAAGTAATGATTTATTATTACCCTGAAAGTCTTCTTAAGTTTTGAAATTGATTGAAGCATTAAAAGAGGACTTTTATTAGTTGTATTAGGATTAAACTAATCTCTAATCAGCTTTAGGAGGTAATGCTTGATTTGTTAAAATCGAAGATTGAATTAATTACTTTTCAGAAGTTTAAGTAATTAGATTTTTATGACTACTGCTTTTTGCAATTTTTTATTCAGG